CACGAACCGCAAATTCATTAACTTTGTTTGTTTTCCACCAAAGGAGCGCAAATCCCTGGAGCTATCTTTATTTATTTGTTTTCATTTTGTTTTCTGTCTTCTGTTTACTTTTTTCTCTCTAATTTATTTTGCATAATTTTGCGGGTCTTAAGCCATGGGGCACCCATCATTAATTAGGCACAGATCAATCTAAACTGAACAGATTTTCACTAGCTCTCACTCGTGCTGCCCTACTCACCACACTCTTTCCCTCTCCCTCTCTCTCTCTCTCTCTTGCTCTCTCTGTCTGTGCTCTGCGGCACTTGAGCTGTCATGTTACTTTTAATGATAATTGCTGCCTCACAACTCATTTCTCACTGTGATAAATACGCTTCGCGCTTCAGCCAAGATCAACCCAACAGCAACAGCAACAAGAAGATCTTGATCATAATCATGATCACAATCGCGTTGACATTCATGTCGTCCAACTGGCTTCCTCTCTCATTTGTCTGCACCCAAAAAAAAAAAAAAAAAAAAAACTGTCAACACGCATGAGCTTTAAGCACTCCAGCAAGGCATGCCAATGCACTGACTATATATACCATATATACTCTCTATATATGCCTCCTATATACCACATACTGTAGACCTCATACATGACCTAGGCCATAAAAGAAATCTCTCTCTCTCTCTATATATATATATATTTTATATGTGACATATATATGGATCGTCACGTTTGTCAGTTCCCCAAAAAATCTCACCCAGCTTTATGGCCGCCTCACAAATGCCCAGCCAGCAGCAGCAACAGCTTTTCGCTGCACTGAAGCTGCCACAATTTGTCTTTATGGCAAAGGCCCAAAGCGCTTTCAAGGCGACCTCACAGCATCAACTCTGTGGCCATCTCCATCCTGCCTTGCAGCCAGCCAGAGATCCAGCCATCGATCCAGCCTGCCTGCCTGCCATAAAGCATTTAAACATTTTGCGACTTGTTAGCAATTAATTAAATAGATCGCCGCAGCCTGTGGCAACCACTTGAGCTGCGTCTAAAGACGCGTCTTGTCATTACTCTTCGGCCAGAGCACTCACAAAATGTCCCCATCGATACATGAGGGGGCACAGCAGACACAAAACACCTCCTTGATGCTGCCCTGGCTTAATTACCGCAACACCGCATTCAATTTTTATGGAGGACACACGCCCCATACGGCGGCATTTGCATGCCAAACGTAACGATCTGGCAACGCTTCAGCGGCGGCGGCTGCTCCTGCTGCTGCTTCTTCTTCTTCTTGGGCGCGCTTCAAACGTGGCCGCTGAATAAAATTTTTGTTCACTACTTTTGAATGCTCTGCGTCAGGGTATTAAAATTTTGCCATCGATTCTGAAGCTTATTCGAATGATTTATGTATAATCAGCATCTAGTCTTTGCTTCTGTTAGATATTCTCATAAAGAGTCGGATTGCAGTTGTAGAAAAGGTTAATAGGAAGACACTCAGTCAGACTGCTTGAAGACATTCCCAGAAACAAATCCCAGAGAGAATCATTGCTAGTCCGCCATATGGAAGAGCTTAAAAAAAATATATACTGTATGAACTGTAAGCATGGATTGGTTCTGTATGAAGTATTCCTTAAAATGTTCTCTCCTGCGATAAAGCTCAGGGAATGATCTTTGGTGATAATATAGGGGGAAAAACCCATAAGAAGCGTAGGGAAAGATCTTTCGGGATTAATCATTAGGGAGGATCCTTGGGAAAATTGTTGTTGTTTTTTAAATATACTAAGGAAAGATTCTTTTCGCAGAGAAACCTTGAGTAGACCCTCAAATGATGATTTTAGACAATCAGATAGACAACGAATCCTTGAACTTTTCTCAGGAAGGATACCAAGAGATGAGCTTTTGCTAAGAACGGTGGAAAATACACTTTATATACGACATGATAAATAATTTTTTGGTATTTGATACTTTATACTTGTAAGGTAGTTAGATCTCAATAGAATCGTAGTCCTAATACATACATATATTTCTCTAGCATAAATCCCTCAGCAGTTGAAACTAAAATATGGCATATGCATGAGTGTATTTCAAGTTCGGCCTGCCGTTGCTAAAGTCCTGCTCTCTCGCTGTCTCTCTCTCTTACTCTTTCTCTCTCTCTCTCTCGGCCTTTGCCTTTGAAAGAGCGGAGAGAGGGTAAGGGGCGCACGTACCTCTAGCTATCGTAACTCGGCTCTGGGCAGCGCTGTCTCTGGCAGTTTGAAAATTTATTTCGCTGTTTTTGCAATTTAAGGTAATTATTATGTACCTTTGGGGTAATTTTAACACCTCGGACACCATCGACAAATATCATCTTCGTTGTGTGGTGTGGGGAGCCGCTGCTTACCGCATCGATGCCGTACTACAGAAGTAACGCGCCGCTTCTCATATCAACCAGCCGAAATCACAACAACAACAACAACAACAACAACAGCAACAACAGCACCAACAACGACAAACGTTTCTTAGAAGCGCAAAGCTTTCAACACCTTCGATGCGTGCCCAGGAACAGGCTTCAGGCCCAGCCTCCCTCACCTGGCCCCCTGGCTCCCCCCATTGGCTGGACTTGTTGTTGCTGGCTTGGCTACCTGTGCCCAGTTATTTTTCACACCTCGACAACATTTTTTAAAGCTGCGATTTTGCCGCTGTTGTTGTTATTGTTGCTGTGTGTGTGTTTTTTTTTCGCACTTGGCGGCGTATTCGGTTACTGCAACGGCAGCGCGTAGAGGCAGCTCAAACATCGCCGCCACCGCCGCCGCCGCCGTAGCGTTTTTAATAACTGCTGCGGCACTGTTATCTCACTCAACTCATCAGCAGCTCATGGGAGCTCTTCAGGCAGGAGAACTCTCTTTGACTTTTTTTCCGTAGTTGTTTCGTTTGTCTTTTTTTTAAGCTAAGCCTGGCATATCCTGTGCCCTCGCAATTATCGCACGACGAGTGGCGTGCGTGTAAATTACCGTTATTAGGTGTGATCGTGCGAATCGCAAATCCAATGCTCCCCAGTTCAGCGAGCACACATACACACACACACACACACATACACTCCTGCGCACAGTATACAAATCCCTTTTAAGCCAAATCTTGCGCCACACGCTCAAAACTTCTTCCTCTTCCCCTTTCTCTCAATCTTCATTTTTTCACTTTTACATCGTACTACACTAACAATTTCCGCTTGATGTTTCTTTCATTTGATTCCGACTCAATAACAGCCATAAAAAATCAAATTAATGTGTTGACAATCGACACGAAGATGAAGAGGCAGAAGGATAAAAAAAACAGACAACGCTGAGCATATGATTTGCGATAAGCCAGAAACACCCTTAACACCCTACATATGGTTAAATAGCCATGATGAACTGGTAGCTACCCTGCAGTTTATTAGTTATCGATAGTATGTATATCGATCAAATGATCGATGTTGACAAATTCCATTTAGTAAACTTATACTATCGCGAATAGCTGCAGGTCTCTATATGAATTAAATGTTTATATTTTTATAGATACATATCATAGGTACTCAAAAAAAATTATTTTCAATCGCTTAATCGATAAAAATACGTATATCAAAAATTTGGTATCTCTATCGTTTCTAGATCTCGAGAAGTACTCAAAATATTGAAATTACGAAAATATAGAGAGATGCCAAGAAAGAATAGATGGTTATATGTATATGGTATATAAGTATAGCCTTTTATACATATATGTATTTGAAGAATATATAGAAGACATTCCTTTTACATGATATACATCAAATATATCCTAAGCATCCCTACTTTCTCTCTATATTTTTTTATTGTTTCGCAGCCTATCATACCCACTAAATTTCTTTATGAATGGGTATCCAAAGGGCGATAGATTTCACGCTCATGATATCGTTATCGTGCGAATTGACCAACATCGAAACCGAAACTGAAACCAAGATCAGAGAACAAAATCATGTCAAACTGTAAATGTCTGTAAATATGCTGACCTACTCCATCACGTCTTGCACTTGTTCGATGCGTACGTGCGGCCAGCGGTTTCTTAGAGTTGAGCGTTGGATATGCTCCGGCCGTGGCTGCTGTACGGAATCTCAATTAGCCTTAATGAACCGAACTGTCACATAAAGTGCGTAATTAATTGTCATATCGATATCGTTAGATAGCTACGATAGCTGGCTAGAGCGCCTACAGAAGCGAAAGTGTTGACACTTAACGTGTGCTTCCGTTCTACGTGCAGCTAGTAAAAGTGACTCGGAACAGATGTAAAGACACTTGCCAGAGTTCTCAGAAGGCAACAAGGAAAATAGGAATGAAAGGCAGCTGTAAAAATCCAAGTTAAGAAAGGCTGTTGATAACAAATCAATCAGGTTAAGTAGTTGATATTATCAAATAAATATTCCAAAAACAAAATACGTAATATTAAACTAATATTTTGGTTTATATCATAAAAATTAAACGCCTGAAGTAAGGAAGGATGGAATCAGCTAGGACAGATTACTAGTCCCAGAATAAGAACTGTGAAATGAAGAAAAATTATACATCTTTTGATCTAGAATCTAGAAATTACTCAAACTATGATGCAATCTAGAATACCTTTATATCCCATAAAAAAAGAATACGTAAATGATGAATAATTAAACATTTCTTTATTTTATATGAACTATAACAGCCAATTGCTGGTACGCTCAACTTGTCCGTTCGTTTGCTTACTGAATACTAACATAAGTTTATCGACTTAACCGATAATTGATCTCGATGCGGCTCTTCATTCGCCGATAATAATGAAAGCTACAAATTATACTAAAAAATGACAAATATGCTAAAAAATGATAAATGTGCAAAAAAATGACAAATGGTTCCTCAACATCCCGGCCCCCCCTGAAACTCCGTTTCAGAATGTGGTAGAGCTGCTATCTTCGTGATGGGTCGTATAATCTCTCCAGAAACGACCTTGAGTTTAACTGCCCGTACTAATCCATCCTCTCCTGGGTACACTTCGATTACGCGTCCTAAGTTCCATGTTGCTGGAGGCGTATGCGAATCCTTGATGAGTACAATGTCTCCAAGGGATATGTTAGGCATTTTGGTAGACCATTTGGGTCGTTGCTGCAATGCTTCACTTCCTTCTTGCCCAAACTAGCTTGAATTGCCTTAACAAGTCTAGTCAGCAGTAGAGCTCCACACAGTTCGAGGCGTGGCCGCGTTGCTAGTTTTAAAGGTGCGACGCGAGTCTTAGCAGCAACAAGATATACTCCTATAGAGCCGTCACTATACTCAACTCTGCTGTAGACGACCGCAGAGTATGCCTTAAGCGAAGCGTCTGAGAATGCATGTAACTCGATGTGATCCATGTGACTGTCTATGAAGCGAGGTATCTTGAGCTGTTGTAGCGACGAAATGTCCTTGCGATGCATCTGCCAAGAGTGCGCCTGTTTCATCGGAAGTTCAGAGTCCCAATCCAAATCAAGCAACCAAAGTTCTTGCAGTAGAATCTTGAATTGGACTACCACTGGTGCCAAAATGCCCAGAGGATCAAAAATGTGTGCTACATCGGATAGCACTTGTCGCTTTGTGCAGCTTGCAGTCTCCGATAATACAATGTTGTATGCAAGGTTGTCTTCTCCAGGATCCCAATGTAGTCCTAATACCTTTGATGTTGCTGTTGACATGCTGACTCTATCACCTTGCGCGGTGCATAGTCGTGTGCTATTTGAGATCCATTTTCCCAATTCCAGTTGCGCACGTGACATGAGTGCAACCAGCTCAGTTTGAATGTCAATAAGTTCTTCCTCTGTCATGGCTCCTGTTAATACATCGTCCACGTAGAAATCCTCAAGTAATATCTTAGCTGCTCTAGGAAACTCATTCTCGTGGTCCTTGGCAAGTTGTTCTAACACCCGGACTGCGAGGAATGGCGCAGACGCAGTCCCGTATGTAACTGTGCAGAGTCTGAAGTGTTTCAATGGTGCTGACGGATGTTCTCTCCATAATATTCGTTGAAAGTCCTGATGTTTAGATGCAACCAAAATTTGTCTAAACATCTTCACAATATCAGCCGAAAATACAAACTTGTGCATTCGAAACCTCATGCATACGTTGAAGAGATTGCGTTGTATACATGGACCAATATGAAGCGCATCGTTTAGAGACCGACCATCTTGGTCTTGAAATGAGCCATCAAATACCACACGCAGCTTTGCCCCTAGCACTGGATGGTGCGGCATGTAGAAAACCTTCTTCGAAGTGGCGTCTTCTTCTGCATCCACCTCCTTCATGTGATCCAGTTGTATGTACTCCCTCATGAATTGCACATACTTCGATCGTAAAGCTGCATCCCTCATTAAACGACGCTCAACTGCCAAGAAGCGAGACTTGGCTCCATGATAGGTGTCTGCAAACTCTGGGTTCCCTTGCTTGAATGGTAGCTCGACGATGTATCTCCCTTCGGCATTACGGGAGTGTGTTTGGACGAAATGAGTCTCCACTAACTCATCTTCTTTATTGGCAGACGTGAACGATGGAAGTTCTTCCAGTTCCCAAAACCGTTGCAACAATGTGTTGATGTCCATGGTAGCTAGGAGTGACGTAGTTGTGGTTGTACACGCTCCTGCCACTGATGTGATGATCCATCCAAATATTGAATCAATAGCAATTGTGTTCCCCTGAAGATTACACAGCTTATCTCCAGTAAGAACCGTCCAAATGTGATCGTTACCAAGCAAAATGTCGATTGAAGCGTTGGTATTAAATGCGGCGTCTGCCAGGGTGTGGCCGCTAAACATAGAGAGGTCTGCTGCATTTATAGTTTCTCTCATCAGTGTCGAAGTAATGTTTCCAAGCACGTGTGCCTTGACCACAAGAGATGCATCTGACACTCGCGACTTGATATGTAGTGAACAGAGCCCTCTTGTTGTTTCTGCCTTGATTGATGATATTCCAGATATAGAGATGCGAGAGTGTGAACGGGCCAGACCCAATGTCTGGATACACCGTTCCGAAACGTAGGACAACTCCGAGCCGCAGTCCAACAATATGCGGCAAACAACGTCTTGTCCTCGAGAATTGCGCACATACACCTGCGCCGTTGGCAGTGTACTTCTCATATTTGCACCCTTGCCACCTTTTGAAGTATTAACGGCGTTCGTCAGTGCTACTACTGTGCTAGCACCTGGTGCCTCATTTGAATCATCCTGCTGATGTTGCTGTGGGTCATCCTTGTCCTTAGTGTTACGTTGGTCGAAGTGCAAGAGTGAGTGATGTCGGCGCTTGCAATGCTTACAAGATGACTTCGATGTGCAAGCGTTCACTCCATGGCCAAGTCTCAAACAATTAAAGCACATGTGTTTGGACTTTGCAAAGGCATATCGCTGCTGAATAGATAAATCCAAAAATTGTGTACATGCCATCAATGCGTGTTCCTTGTTGCACTTTGCACAGCGCTCTGAAGTGGCGAGTAGCGCATGTGCGTTCCTGGTACCTCTGTCCTGTCTAGGCTTGCTGCTTGTCGTAGTTGCAGATTGACTGAGCTCCAGCCGATCACAACGTGCATCCAGGAACTTGAGCAACTGCGTTATCGTAGGATTTGCTATATCTTGACTCTTTTCGTACCATTCACGACGTGTGGTGTCATCAACCTTTGCCATGAGCAAGTAAATCAGCCAACAATCCCGATCCGTTTGTCCAGAGGCGTCTAATGCCCGAATTACGGTACCAGCTTCGTTTGTTAGCGATCGAAGCGATGCTGGGTTTTGATCCGCAACCTTGGGCAGTCCAGTAAATGTATCCAGCAACACGTTTACCAAATAGCGAGGCTTCTCGTACCGATCAACTAATGAATTCCAAGCTATTTCATAGTTGGCATCGGCTAAGGGCAGATGCTGAATAAGTTTCGCAGCTTCTCCTTTTAAACAAGATTTTAAGTGATGATACTTCTGGATATTCGTCAACGTTGTCTTGCTGTGAACGGCACTGTCGAATAGACCCTTAAATGCGTGCCATTCCTTATAATCTCCATCAAATGGTGTGATATGAATCCGTGGCAGTTCCCAATCCTTCACTGATGGTCCTGCGCCTTGCTGTGAGCCTGACGGTGACTCGTTATCCACCTGCTGTGGTAGCAGTCGTTGTATTAGGTGCTCCATAGTCTGCATTTGCATCTGAGATTGTTGCTGTAATTGTTGTATTTGCATATAAGACTGTTGCTGTATTTGTTGTAAAATGCCTTGGATGGGTGAATTATCTACTTCCCCAAGCACATTAGTTGTGGTATTGGCTTCTTCCAGTTTGTGGGGTTTGTACTCAGCATGTAGTGTCTTAAGAAGAGCACAAGCTCGTTCAAAGCGCTCCTCATATACATTGTTGTCACTTGCTGGATCCACATATCCCTGCACATCTTCATATTTATAAAGTTCGTCACCAAGGCTTACAAACTGCTTCCAAACTTGAACCAGCGTGTCCAATTTGGTATCAATATCGTAGAAGGTGCAGCCCTCAGGTGGATGCTCCGCATATCCAGAAATACTGGCTCCCAGTAAAGTACGTAGATTTTCCATTGCAGCTTGCTGCGTTGCCAGCAGTCAATCCAAGTTGTCCAAAATAGCCAGGTATTAAATTAATGTGATGAAATTGCTGCGTCTCTAGCAGCCGAACAAACCATTACGACAAATCACCGCACTTTTCCAATAGTGCGTACTGCGTATTACGTATGATGCCAAATATCGATACGTAATTCCAAGAATTTGCAATTGCTGCGTCTCCAGCAGCAAAAACACGACAAGACAAAACACGTCACTTTTCCAATAGTGCGTGCTGTTTATTACGTATGATGCCAAATATCGATACGTAATTTCAAGAATTTGCAAATGCTGCGTCTCCAGCAGCAAATACAATACAAGACAAAACACGTCACTTTTCCAATAGTGCGTGCTGTTTCCAACAACTCCAAGTGAACATTCAGTAGCAATGCCCAACGGCTCCGGCTCGAAGGACCAAATTTATGATGAATAATTAAACATTTCTTTATTTTATATGAACTATAACAGCCAATTGCTGGTACGCTCAACTTGTCCGTTCGTTTGCTTACTGAATACTAACATAAGTTTATCGACTTAACCGATAATTGATCTCGATGCGGCTCTTCATTCGCCGATAATAATGAAAGCTACAAATTATACTAAAAAATGACAAATATGCTAAAAAATGATAAATGTGCAAAAAAATGACAAATGGTTCCTCAACAGTAAATTAAACTAATATTTTGGTTTATATCATAAAAATTAAATGCTTAAAATTTGAAATAAAAATCCTATTTCATTTTTTTACTGTTTATATTGAGGTTTAAATATAGGAATGAACTAGGACAGAACCCATTCACTAGAATGAGAACTATGAAATGAAAAAAAAAAGACATCTTTTGATCTAGAATCTAGAATGTACAAATCTAGATACAATCTATATTGCCTATATATTCAAACAGCTCTCCTGACCCTTAGATTCATACATCCTTTCAACTATATTTAAACACAATTCATTAATTTACTCCCAGCTCTCTAATTTCATTGCCACTTCATAGCCCTTCCCCACATTTTTCCCAACCAATTACCAATTGGATTTACAACATTCTCATTGCTGGTCAAATCAAACGCTAGATGGCGCTGCAGCAAACACCACCGACTCCCATTACATCCAATTGGAATGTAACCGAAATGGGAATGTGTCATAGATGCCGCCAGCTGACTGTCTAAATGGATCAGCCTGACAACCCTGGCAATTGATCCTGTTGACTCCTGGCATACCTGCAGGACCCTGAGAGCTACCTGTTCTCATTCACACAACCCTTAGGCATTACATGCACTTTAATTAATCAAAAACTGATGTAATCGAAATGCAGAAGCTAATTAAAATGCTACCAAAACATCATTTTTTTGTGGGTGTGTTGTGGAAAATGGAAAATAAAAGAGTTGAAAATGGATTTTCATATACGTTTTTGGGGAGAATTCCACGCTCGCTGGGCGTGTAGGCGATGACGCAAAGCATTTGCCTCTGGGTTATATTAGAAATGCATTAATGAAAAAAAAAAAAAAAACTGCAGCACGAAGAAGAAGAAACAAAATCGAATCGTTGGCAGCTTTTAAAAAACGATTAAACAAACCACGCAGAGAGAACGCTGCAGAGGCCGAGACCTGCTGAACCTGAAAACCCCTTGAAAAAAATTGCATTCGTTGAGGCAGCTGCCTGCTTAAGGTTAATCAACGTTGTTATTCACATTTATGCATTTATTGGGGGGCGCAATCTCGTTACCCCTGCGAGTTCGGTGCAACAACTGTAACGGTATTTGAAAATCAACCTAAACTGACGAAGCTGTAGCCGAAGCAGCAACCGTAGCCGTAGCCGTGGATTCTGATCCTCGTCGATCAGCAACATTGTTGCTGCCCATAACAAATTTATGAGTGTGCTTTATGGGTGGGGGGACCACTTCACTTGTTGCGGGCGTATAAATAGCCAGCGAGACGCACGTGGCCACGTCTCTGCCTAGCGCCAAGAGCTTAAGCATGACCAGAGGCCCGAGAATGAAGAATCAACTCGAACAAACTCTGAAAACCAACTGCAAAGATACTCTGTAAAATCAGGCAAAAGTACATATTGTATGAATATTAATACGATCGGGTATATACTATGTTATATATATCATACTTATGTATGGATGCATTTTGCTTACGATTTTAACTATATATATATATATATATTACTTATGCAATGGACTCTTGACTATAAGAAAGTTGTTATAGCAACAATTGCTTAGATCTCTTATATGCTCTCATAGTTAATGAAGAGAGCATATAAGAGACAGACACAGGTAGCCAGTCTTAGACCTAGTAAAACATTTGTTTAACTAGGTTTATAATAAACAATATAGTATTCATATTTACAACTCAGAACAGACTTTGGCTTTATAAATATTTTTACGTACGTATGTATGAAAAGTATACTCACTCTGACATAAAAATAAAAATATATAAAATAATAAAAATATAAAATAATAGAAATATAAAAAGTATAAAATATAATCAAGCTAATAATGAACTTGTAAATATAGAATCTATTCAAAACTATTAAATAAAGACTGTTAATCAAAAAAATAAATAATAATAAAATAAAATAATAATAATAATAATAATAATAATAAAAATAATAATGATAATAATAATAATGTTAATAATATATGTATATTCAGCAAATATCTGTTAGCTTAAATCAATCCAATATAAAATTTGGCAACTATACCTTTAGATCCAAAGTCTTAAAAATTTTGTACAATAAAAATACAAGTTTCCCTAGATCTTATAAGTAAAAGTATGGGAAAAATTGAAACTTACTGTCTATCACAAATATAGGTGAGGTGAATAGGTTAATATTATTCAAATTGATGATAAATGATAATCTCATACCAAATTGTTGAGCTCTAGCTCTGCTAGTTTCTGAGGTCTTTAAGGTTAGAATGGTCTACGACTTGCATACATGGCATACGTATAAATTATTCGATTGAATTCAAATTTCCTACCACTAAGATTACAATGTCAAAAAATCTTAATGTTTTGAAAAGTATTTACTATATGTATAATATTATATATTTAAACAAAAATTCAAAATTAAATTACCCATATGTAAATTCAATGAGATGATAAGATAAAAGCAAAGTAAATTTCACAGCTCTAGCTCTTATAATTCATAGGTTTAATAAGGTAGGTAAAGATCTACCACATATTAGTATTATATTATTATCTAAAATTATGCTAAAAGAGAATAATATACCAAATATTTCAGGTGGCAGTGGTGTAAAATATATATGTATATCCATTGCCCAATTATTAAAACTAGAAAATATCAGTTCTAGCTGCTGAAGTGACTGAGTTCACATAGCTTAGTCCAGCCTATATGCCCCTGTCACATGTTCCCGCTGTCTTATAAAGAGTATTGAAAATGAAAAAACAACGATGCCCACATCTCAGACAGTGTCGTGGCTCACATGGCTGTCGCGCTGTCGAGCTGTCCGGCTGTCAGGCACGTCAAGTTGCAGCTTCGTGACAAAGCTTTAAGCAAATGAGTTGCAAATGCAGCCAAGGGCAGACGCCCCTTTCGCACTTGATATGCATGAGAGGGCAAACACTTGTGGGATTTGTTGTTGTTGCTGTTGTTGCTGTTGTTGTTGTAACTTTATGTTAATCAGCCTCGAATCGGAAGCACGTGTCAAATGCGGCAATGCGGCAAATGCTTAATGCTAAAGAACAGTTGCCCCCGTCTGCTGTCCAAGGCCAACAGCCTAAACAGATCACAGAGTGCCTGCCCCCAACTCCCCAGCCAGGCAGCGAAAGTGCCAGCCAGTGGCGCACACATGATGGATCACATCGCGACACAGATACAGAAAGAGAGACAGAGAGGGAGAGAGAGAGAGGGAGAGAGGGCGTCCGTATGAGAGAGCGAGCTGGCGCATAGTGCGCAGTAAATTTTCTTATTTATTTCTTTTAGCCTGACAAAAAGAAAAGTGGAAGTGCATTGAAAAGCGAGTTCGCTTCTTTCTCATTTCTTACATACATATTTTTCTTGTCTTGTGTGTATTCTGTGACAAGGATCAGCAGTTAGGATCATTGTGCATAAGATTTAAGTCTCGATTTCGATGCAGTTTTTCCCAAAAGAAAAAAAAAAGGAATTGTGACACACACACACACACACACGAGCACAAAAAGCAGACAAGTTGAATGGGCTGAGCGAGAGAGAGAGAGGGAGAGGGAGAGTGAGTTAGCACCCACACGGGTGTAAGAGCAACCCCTACAGTCGTCGCAACCCCTATTGATTGGGCGAGAGCGAGAGAGCGAGATAGGGCAAGTTAAGGGCAGGCCGAGAGAGCAGGCATGATCACTTGTGCTCGCTGGCTCTGACTGTGTGTGCCTGCCCTCGGGCAGGTAGCCTCAGAGATCAGTTCATGTTCGCGCAGTCGTCGCGCAGTCGGCAGCGCTGCCGCCGGCAGCTACTTAAGGGCGAGCGCGCAGGACGAGGTTTATCATTGCGGAATTTGATTCCACACAGTCAACAACTCAGCTCAACTCCAGCATTCAGTTCAGGATAAACATGACGACCGTCTGCAGCAGCTATTCGCACTTCCAGCTGAGCACTGGCAACATTATGTTGCAGCAATTGCAACAGCAGCAACAACAGTTGCAGCAACAGCTACAGCACCAACAACAACAGCAGCAGCAACATCAGCTGATTGCGCCCAAGCCACAGCCGCTGGGCAACAGCCAATTGCAGAATATGCAACAGCAAACAACACTCGGCCCGATGCTCTCCAAGAAGAAGTATCAAACGTTTACCCATCTGCCATACGGCGCAGGAGCTGGTGGCGAGCAGCAAATGCCATCGGTGGCGCGTCGCAATGCCAGGGAGCGCAACCGTGTCAAGCAGGTGAACAACGGATTCGTCAATTTGCGCCAGCATTTGCCACAGACCGTCATCAATACGCTGTCGAACGGGGGACGCGGCGCCAGCAAGAAACTCT